GTGGGTGCGTGCGTGCGTGCGTGCGTGTGTGTGCGTGCGTGCGTGCGTGCCTGTGCGTGTGTGCGTGTGTGTGTGTGTATGTGTRTATGTGTGTGTGTGTGTGTGTGAAGCTGGTGAACGCCTGATTGCAGTTTCTTGGCCTATCACCGCAGTAGATGTGAATTCCTCCTGTGGATGTTGGATCACTTGTTGAAAAGGTGCTTCTTGGTTACTGTCAGTCGTTGAAGTGTTACATGCTCACTAGCATGAGGTTGGAAAAGGGCTTTGGAAGCGTGGGTCTGCACCCTCGATGCCTGGCACATGTGAGCAGCATGGTCGGCTAATCTGTCTTCACACCTCTCAAGGTGCACTGTCGGAGAAAAGCTGTTGACATGATTCGTCTGTTAGTTCCGATGGTCCCTTTGTGCAAGGATTGATTTTGCTGTGCGCATGCGGAGTAGCATCGGGTCTAGCATGTTCGTGCTCAAAGGCATGTTGCCTCGGCCTCTGTTGCTGTCCAACTCAATGAAGCATAGAGCTCAGACAACAGCCGGTAACTGAAGCGTAGTCTCTGGTTTGTAGACTAGGACTTACTCTATAATAAGTTTGGACGTGTGTTCGTCTGGGGTTTGCAGGACGTGTGTTCGTCTGGGGTTTGCATAGTCCGATGTGTGATTGAAGAACCTTGATAAATGAAGCCGGTTTCCATTTGAGTTTTGTGGGACTAGATGGTAGCTCTGGTACCAACCAGACTTACTAGAGGGCTCTGACTTCCTGTACTTGCTTAGGGGCTGAACAGTACTCATGCATCTCTTGATGAAGAGGTCACAGGTCCAAACCCTGAAAAGTACAATAATAATGTTAAAGGCTACCTTTACGAAGGAGACTGATTACACTGACATTTTAAGACGAGAAATGAGTGGGTGCATGCTTTGCTTTCTCAGGCTTTGAGGCATTTACATCCCTGTATGCTCTTTTGCATTCAAATCTCCCTCCCCCACCCCCGTGTCCCCTTTCCCTGTGTGTGATTTTCTGTTTGCTTCCACTGTTCTTTCTTTTCTATAGGTATGCAATGACAGGTCAGTTGACGGCAAAAAGCGATGTGTATAGTTTTGGGGTGGTCATGTTGGAGTTGCTAACGGGCCGAAAGCCAGTGGATCACACCATGCCAAGGGGCCAGCAGAGTCTGGTGACGTGGGTACGTTGTCAGACATATTGGACTGTTTTTATCGCATTCTCTCTGCTCAATTTGGATGGAGTAATAATATGATGGCAAAGGGGATGTGGTCTCTGGCTTGCACGATTGGCCACATGGTGTATCTGTCTAAAATTTTCCGACTTTGACAAGGGGGCAGAGAGAGAGAGAGAGAGAGATAGAGAGAGAGAGAGAGAGAGAGAGAGAGAGAGAGAGAGAGAGAGAGAGAGAGAGATGTGTCCTTGTCTAGACTTGTTTCCTGTGTTTGTCCTCCTTATTCTTTTGCATGTTCATTTCCAGTGAAAAGGCCAAAACTTCAAAAGCAAAGGTGAAAATTTACATGGCCCCAACGGCTGAAGAAATAGAAGGGGCGAATCTGAATCCCTGAATGGATCGAGGCGATGATAGAGGCCAGGTGCATCAGTGGTATCAGTGTGAGTATTCCCTCCTGGGAAAGTTCAGAGGCCTCTGGAAAGGGTCAGTGGTTGAATAGTACACACATGTGACCTTTCATAAACCAACTATGAGGTAGAATCCTACTAGGTGGGGGGCATCCATCCCCACATGAGCAAGCCCACGGCCCTCGCATCTTGCCATCTGAACCGATGTCAGGAACAGGATCCCCTTTTCTTGCCATGGAAGGTGAATCCAGGTGAGGAATGTGATCCCCTTTCCTCGACTTGTTGGCAAATAAATGAGAAACACATGAACGATAACAGAAAAGAAGTCAGGGACCGATGCATGATGTAGATAGTGAAGTCTTTGTATGAACGTACCTCTTTTCAGTGAATAAGGGACCTACGCATGGACCGAGGCATGTAGTTAGTTAAGTATTTGTATGGACATATTCTGGATGTTTTTTTTTTATTCATCTTCGCTTGTTGTGTACGTTCTCTGTTTTTCCTTTCGTGAATTCGGGAATGTTGGGACCGTTCATCGTAAGCGCTCGAAGGAAGCTGTCTGTCATTGCAGTCCCATCCATCCAAGAAAGTCCAGAACATTCCCAACAAGTTTAAAACAGTTGTTGGTGTTTGTTTCCTAGCTCTTCGTTCGTGCGATGCTTCGTCTGAAAGGGCCTACAGGCCCCCAAAATATGTCCGACATCTTTTAGCGGGGGAAAAAAAAACGTCGCCTGGGAGCCAAAGACATCGTCACCCTTCAAATAGAAAAATCCTTGGCTAGGGGCCTAGTCCAGACGGGGCTAATCCAGATGTTCTGAATCAGGCGCCGCACCCGTACGCCCGGATGCTGACGCCTGGCTGGTTACGGTGGATTTGTTTTCTTCCGAGTATCCTTTTCGCCCAGTAAGAACTGCGTAGATGGCCCCTTACATGGCTGTAAACGTACGCATGTAGGGGACGACCCCTAGGCGTCTGGGGTGCAACTCTTGTAGATACACTCTTAAAGTCCTAGAGTGGCAAACATATTTTTCCCGCATCTTTTTTTTAGTGGGTATTAGTGTGGGTGACACTGGGTGTATTAGCTTTCATGTTTTTTTTCTAAGCATTGTAGTGTATTAGCCTTCGTGTGTTTTTCCCTCCAACCACCAGTACATGGCCCCAGTCAAATTTTGAGCCTCTCCGGAAATTAGGAGGCCGAGCGCTGTAGATAAAATGAATCGGTGGTGGGTGGCCTCCCAAAGGGGCCCGCAGCCGAGAACTGGCATGTACTGGTGCTTTAACATTGTAGTCTTTCGCTCGATTCATATAATTGCAATGATCCTCCTCTCGAAACACACACCCAACATGCATGCACAACAGGACACTCATGTGAGAGTTCACTCTCGAGACCAAGAGAAGGAACTTGGACAGCACTAACTGAAACTCATATCAATTATTATTATTTATACAAAAAATGTTCGTACAACCGGCGGCATACACCGCACTGACTCTCAACATCACTCGGGTAAGTACCCACGCCCTCTCGTAAGTGTTTCTCTCTCTCTCTCTCTCTCTCTCTCTGTGTGTGTGTGTGTGTGTGTGTGTGTGTGTGTGGACTCTTCTCTCTCACCTTGCCGAAGATCTACCCTGAATGCAACTGCGAAGTAACTCCCAAATCTTTGTGGCTATGGCTGCCTCTCCCTCTCTCCTAGCTATGGATGCTTCCTCCTCTGCTGGGAGCTTGCTGCTCCCTGAGCACCACCTTCTGTCCATGCTGCGCTATCGCAGAAGCAACCAGCAGGGCTTTCACAACTTCGTGAATGAACCACCTGTTCCCCCTTGCATTGTAGCAGCTATAAATGGAAATTGTTGACTTGCTTTGCCTGCATCGAACCGCTACCGGTTGCCTGCGGTCTCTGCTGCATATTGTGTTGTTCCGGAAGTCTTTGGTTTTCTTGGGATGCTGCTGCAAATTGGACTTTGGGACTTGACTTTTGCTGTCGGTACCGGTAGACATTTACCAATCTGTGACGCTTCGGTACCCGTCACTATTGGACCGCAAAGTTTCGGCTTACAGACCCCTACTGGACTCTAGGGACCCTTGGACTTCACCTACTGGGACCTAGTGGGCCTGGGACCCTCTGGTACTGGGCCCACTTGGGGCTCTGGGACCAGGACTGGGGACTAATACAGAATTGACTTATGCCTATGTTCATCTCTCTCTCTCTCTCTCTCTCTCTCTCTCTCCCCCCCTGTGTGTGCATGAGGCCTCCTACACGTCCTAAGGGCCCAACTTTGGTTCCAAGGCCCCCAGATCGCACAACCGTCAGCGTCAGGGCCACATTCCAGCCTCCAAGCGTAGGCCATCCTCGTTTTTTGTTCCTAGAACCTATTTTTGTCCTCGTCATTTCTGTTCCCGGATTTGTCTGATCCACTATATTCCATTTCGGGCTTCTTGACTGAACAGGCCCTGTGCCTGCTCGAACCAGTAGAGGTGCTGGACCCATGGTTTTGGCATTTAGGTCCAGCAGACTTTTGTCCGGACTGGGGAGTGGACCCAGTTTTGTCCAGTTGTGACTGGTCCAGCCTCGTCCGTTTCTGGGCCAGCCCTGCTGCCTCAGCAGGAGCATCTGAAATTCCGTTAGGGACTCAGAGGCAGGGCCACGACTGGGCCTGCGTCCAGGACCATCAACCGACAATTACATTGGACGGTCGTGGAGACAGATCCAGTTTTGTCCAGTTGTGACTGGTCCAGCCTCGTCCCTTTCTGGGCCATCCCTGCTGCCTCAGCAGGAGCATCTGAAAGCCTGGTAGGGACCCAGAGGCAGGACCAGGACTGGGGCCTGCCTCCGGGACCATCAATTGACAATTAGATCCGACGATCCTGGAGACAGACTTGAGGCACACCCAGGAGTCCCAGTGGTGTATAGGTGGGCCAGCACTCAGTTTGAGGACTGAATTTCCGTTCGCTTGGTGACACGCTGCTAGTGTAGCATTATTGCAGAGTAGCTGCGGTAGAGAGTTAGTACTAGAAGGGTAGGATGTAGCACGGAGGGAGAGTGACGATGGTCTGCTGTGGCATTGTAGGAGAGCGGAGATACTCAGTTGGAGCCGTGGCCTGGGATCAGCTCTACACATAACTGGCCTTCACTTTGCGTCCTGTAGCAGCTCAGACATCGATCTTCACCGGTCAGTATCAGGCCACATCAGAGAGAGCAATTGAGAGGTCGTCTTCTTCCTCTTCCTCTTGGTTGCGATTCTCCTGTATCCCTCCATAGCTGTAGCCTCTCTCCTACATCCCTCCCCCCCCCAAAGCGCACACATACACACACACTCACACGCGCACACACACACACACACACACACACACACACACACACACACACACACACACACACACACACACTGCCGAATGCACACTCGACATACAGAGACTCCTCCGGACCACACTCCCAAACACCAATTATGGCTGCAGGGCGACATCAGCCCTCCACACAGCACGACACAGCGGGTCTACCCCCTTCTGTTACTCCTGAACTGGTAAACGCCAATGTGGTCCAGCAGCTACAAGTAATGTATACGCTGCTGAGGTTGCTGTGGGTGATGAAGGCCAGCATCCTACCAATGCGGCTATTGCTGCCGAAGTGGTGCCTCCCTCATCACTGTCGCCATCACCACCACCACCACCACCATCACCACCACCACCTCCTCACCCACCACTGCAGCCACCACCACCGGCATCCCCACCACCATCACCACTGGCATCCCCGCCCACCATCATCATCCCGCCGACATCTTCTTCTACATCATCCCCCCAGTCATCTAACCCCTCTACTGCTGCTTCTCTGTCCCCTTCTTCTGTCTTCCTCTTCCTTTTCTTCCTCCCCTTCTCTACCGTCTTTGTCATCTCCCCCCTCCTGCTTTACCTTGCCTGATTCTCATCTTCATTATCAACACATCACTGGTCAGATCAGCCGTCGCGGCGACCCTTTCATCCAAGGCATCTACCCTTAAATTGGTTGTTGCAGACACCTCATCGGCGGAGGCGTTCCCCGTCTTCACCACCGTCTCCAAGACAACAGCTTCGTTTGTCCATGGATAGTATAAACACTGCCCCCCCTGCAGGGGTTCGAGATCTGCTGCGACGCCATGCCCGCAACCGTACAGGACGACGACGTCGCGCTCAATACACACTAGCCCGGAATAGTGCATGCCGAGTTCGATGCCAACAATGTGGCGACGATTTCTTCAGCATTACGGGCCTGCGTGTGCATCAGACATGGGGTGCGGTCGCCTGTGCAGCCTTTGCACGACTGGCAGCCACCTTAAATACAACTGTGGCTGATCAGCCTCCATTACCTGCATATGAACCACCCATATCTCACCCACCCATTTCTCGCTCGCCTGACCCCGCATGTTCCCCAGCCCCAATGGTCAATGATCTCCCTTGTGATCATTTGATGGAACCCCTAACTGGAGATAACCTCTCTCCGGAGTGTGTACTAGAGCCAATGCAGTTTCCACAAATGGAGAAACCTGATAGCAACAATCAAGACCACATTGCAGCTCCGCCTGCCGTGCAATCCACAGAACTGAATGAACTGCCCCCTACCGCACAACCGG